GCATGTTTGGACACGTCAAAACTATTTGAGTTCATGGTACACCATGCAATTTGAGTGACAAATCACTTTCTCGAGAATTCCTCCTAGACGCTCTTCCATTTCTTGTTCACTTTGGGTTGATCACGACGTTCTTTCATCTGAGTGTATTCTCAAATGCCTACATGCATGCATACATACCTACAAATGCCTACAAATGCCTACAAAAACCTACAAATGCCTACATAGATAGGTAGCCTAGGATCTAACCTGTTCTTACTTTTACTCAGACTGTTTCAGTCTGTTTCTCAATTTACAACGGGTCCATGGAAAAAACTGACTCAGTGTAAGATTATCCTTACTCAGTGTAAGACAGTTATTTATTAAATTTCTTTCAATTCATGTTTTCAAGAACTTCGATTCTATTTTTAACCAAACATCACATTCTTATAATACCCGATATGCACAGAATGTCGGAATAACTACCTCCCATTTATACAAGTCTTACTCATTAACAAATTCCTCTTACATTTCTGAAGTTTTATATCGTAATGTTATCTCCCGTTGTAATTCTTATCATTTGTTTCATTCTCCATCGATTAATATTTTCAAAAAATGCATCACTGGCTGTCTGACAGAGTGGGGTGTAGATGAATCAGAACTCCACAGGCAGACTTGACCCTAATTTATTCTCTCGTAATTATTACTGAATTATTACTAACATCGTGCATTCTTAACTATATTTAAATGTCTATGACCTTCGCCTTGCCTCATTCCTCAAATTGCTCATTTCACTAATTTAGCCTCAGAATAGTTTACGGTAGGGTACTTAACAATTATATTAAATTACTTGTTTTTTTTTTAGATTTTCTAAATATTTACGAATATTATTGTTTTCCAACAAATACGTAATTCACTGATAGCGACTGAGCCTACGCACAGGCTTCCAGCCCATGTAGGCTTATTTCCTAAATGACTATATTTAACATAGCTTTCTCTGAAACCTTCCATCCTTTGTTATTATTATTATTAAGTTTACATGTATTTTTATAATTATTTATTTTATCCATGCAATAGCAAGTAAGGTGTCTGTTTCACTGGAAGTTTATGTTTATATTTTATTATGTTGAATATTTTTGGAAATACAGTATATTTTGATTTGATTTTGATTTGATAATAAAACCATGGAAATTATGTGCAAACTGATAACATAATAACATTACAGTCCGAGTTTTGTTTGCTGAATGTAAAAGAAACAAACTCTGTGACAATGGGATGGTTTTAATTAGGTGAACAAGTTGGTTTCACCTCGGGAGCTGTTTGCAATAAACAAGACTTGTTTTGGAATTGTCAAACCAAAGCACACAAAATCGCTTTGTGGATTCGGTGTTATAAGACTTAGTAAAGAATGAAACATAGACATGCCGTTTTATATTTAAACTAGCTGGCCCGACAGACGTCGTCCTGTCCTAATGTGGTTTTATGTCAATGCTCGTTCATTTTCAAGATGAGCTCGTTCGCTGCGCTCACTTGCCTTCAGTTTGCTCGTTCGTTATGCTAACTCGGCTCCAGGTTGACGTTCGTTCGCTACGCTCACTCACCTTTTGGTTGCAAATTAGCTGTTGTCATAAGTAAAAAAAAAAAACAAAAAACAAAAAACACCTTGTTGGTAAACCTATTAACTTTTTAATGCCATTGAACATCACATAATCAAATTGTTTAGTTGAACCAGCTGTTAAGATTCTTTAACTCCAGAGCCACTGGGGCGGAGCCCTTTTGACGGATCTGCACCAAACTTCACACAAACCATCCTTGAATATTGCTTAATGCCTGAAAGTTTCATTACAATCTGTCGAGCGGTTTCGGAGTCCATAAAGGACAAACAAACATACATTGGATTTTATATAATAGATTTATATTATTTTGGAATTTCTTACCACACTCATACATTGCACTTAGAATAATTGATCTAAAGACACCAGTATAATATAGACATGTAGCACCATTACGAAGAGCCTGTTTCGACGAATTAATAGATTCATAGTCACCAGTTTTACCGGATATGAAAATATCTTAGCAAATCGATTTATAATCAACAGAATTGAGCCGGAATCACATCCAAAGTTAGGCTTACAGCGCCACTAATGTAAGCAGACCCAACTTGACTTGGTCTAAATTAATTAAACAGTTTTGTTCCCATGACAGTCGGAAGGTCCGAACAGTCAGGGCCGAGTTTTAATTGAAATTCACCAAGTGGATTGTTGAGTCCCTAGTCCACTCCTTGCGTAAATACTTTTGAATTAGGGGATTACTTGTGATCTACTTTTCACTTCAGATTAATATGCGAATTAATCCTATATTAATTCTATCTCAATGAATAAGTGTACAGCAATGGTTAATATTAAAACGAAATGTTATTACTCAAGTCACGGTACTGCAAAATCTGCTATGATCTATGAAACTGGTGTAATTAGTCACACATTACACAGTTCTTATTATTTTAGCAATTAGGACCTATGATTGTGGTTCTTAACTAAACTATTTTTGTAAATGATAAAATGTGTCTGATCATGATATAAATTAAACTATTAACCCTCATTAACCACAACCGAGCAAGGCTCGGTCCCCTGGTACTTATGAAGGTAATCTGGAAACACAAGACGTTCCGTCCAGGACCTGAGGGTGTTTGAGCATGCATGAAAGTAGTACGCAATTTTATTGCTGATTATTGTAATATGGACTGTGGTGATCAAAATTACGTATGTCGCCTATTTCAAAAGTGGTCGATAAGGTGGGGGGAGGGGGCAAACATGGCGGTTTGCGCTATGCGTTAAAACGCCGATATTTCGAAAACGGTAAAAGATAGAACATCGGTTAAAACGTCGTTGTACAGTAATTCTAAACATGTGGACTACAATAATGGTTATTGAGTCCGAGGTCGTATCTCTATAAATAAACAAGTTATTGTATAAAATATGTAAAAATGGACTTTTTGTGTCGGTTTTTTTTACCGAAAGTAGAATTAATTTGTGAGTGTCGCAAAGAAGTAATATAAAATATATTGGCTGATAGTTGTAATATGGCCTTTGGTGATAAAAAATACGCATGTCGCCTACTTTTCAGGTGGTCAAGAACTTAGGGGGAGGGGGGCAAAGATGGCGGAACGCGCTATGCATTGAAACGACTGTAGCTCGATAACGGTACGAGATAGGACATCGCTTAAACGTAGTTTTAATCCAAACAATATGGCCAATAGAATAGGTAATTGGGTAAAAAGTTGTATCTTAACTAATATAAAAGTTATAACAATAATAAGTTTAACAAAACCTACATTACACAGCTATTTTCTTCAAAAATCATATGGATTGTTGATAATAAATAGTAGCATAGATAGGCATAGAAGCCAAATGATAGGCTGCTTTTTCGGCCCAGGATTTCCAAAAGAATGTCTGATAAGCATTAAAAACGCTTGGTTTGGAGAAATAAACTACTGTAGTCGGGGTCGAAGATCAACGTCATCACTGTTATAATGGATTTTTAGTTTTAATTTGATATGTTCACAATATTTGTTGAATTTAATTGTACAATCAATAAAACTCAGATTGTATAAAATTTATTTATGTATTTATTTACGGTATAACCATTTTACAATAATTTAAATATGCATTAACTTGCTCAAAATAATCAATATAAATAAATAACAATAAGCAATAACAATTGTAACAACAACAATAATAACAATTAATAACACTAATAAGATAATACATATGGCAACAGTTGGTATGTAAATTTTTAAATTCATGCTTAACTCATCTAATTGGCTGGGGTTAGTATAATTTGTATACTTATCATCACAAAAAGTTAAACTGTTATGCAGTTATCAACCAAAATGATAGAAGCCAAAACTGTTTAGGTTGATTGCAATCACTAACACTTTTTCTGTACCACCCTATTTGAAGAAAAGTATACCATTCCTTAAAACCTTGAAATATAAATGGAGGTCTCAAAAATCAATATAACATCTGTGTTTTTGACAAATTGTTTCTCTTCACTGGGATATAAATTTGTAACTATTTTAATCACCCTAAAAATGTATCCCTACACATATTTTTCTCTATCTGAAATTCTGGGTAAAAATAATGTTAAGCATGGTGGTGAGGGTCAATGGCAATATGGTAACCTGATGACTCAATTTTGTGGACGTGTCTACAAACGCCACCTACTGTACAAATCATATACTCATGCTGAAATTTAGCAAGTTTTATCCTATTCTAATGTTGTATAGAATAATTGATTCAAAATTAAACTGGTCTGATCACGTCAAATCTGTTTGTAGCAAAATTTCAAGAGTGACTTGCCTGCTTTGGAAACTCGAAAGTTTTGTTAGTCCTGATTATTTGAGACTGGCATACTTTGGCCTCTTTCAGGCACATGTAATATATAGATTGCTTGCATGGGGTCAATCACCACATGTTAATGACATCCTATTGCTTAAAAAAAAGCTATTCGTAATATGGCAGGAGTCGATCACCTAGCACACTGTAAGCAACTTTTTGTAGAGTTCAAAATTCCTACAGTATTTAATCTCTACATCTTTCAAGTTCTGGTTTATGCTAAAACAAACTTAAATATGTTTCGTACTAGGCAAAATATTCATAATCATAATACCAGGGGGAGGGGGAATTTGGATATAGTACCACATAGGCTTACCAAAACTAAAACGTCTTTTAAACTAAATTGCATTTACTTTTTCAATAAGCTGCCTGAGAATGCAAGAGAGGTTAGTTTAAACAGGTTTAAATCTGTATAGTACACCTGGCTGGTAGGAAATCCCTTTTATAAACTTGAGGAGTTTTTTAACACACAAGTTTGTATTTTTTTTTAATACATTAATGTCTTGTTTTATTTTTATTTGCTATGTTACATTTGTATAACATTGTATAACAAATTGACTTGTCCTATTTCTGTACAAACAGATCAATGGAAATAAAATATTCTTATTCTTATACATCTGACTTTTGCAGATCGCCACACTTTGCGTCAGAGGACCAGCCAAAGTCTTGCTGTGGAGTGGCAGTGTCTCAGACGTTGACTGTCAGATGGTTCATCATCCTCATCTTCTTGGTGGGTTTGTGTTGTGCCATCGTGGGCACTGTGTTGGGAGCTATGAAGGCTACAGGGAGAGAACACCTAACAGTATCACTGCTGATGATTGGTGAGCAATGCTTAATTACTTAGATAGTCTACAGCTAGTATCAGAGTCTAATGATGCTACAAGGAAAATAAGACTTATTTCCACTGACATTTATCCTATAAAAAATTTTAGTTGAGATTATGAACCATCGAGGTGAACGTGACCAATTAATTCTTGATATCTCCAAATTTGACTCAGTCCCTATCAGGTTTCGCAGTCCTCCTGTTGATTTACATGATCAAGTATACTGTATGGTTTATGTGTGTAGAAGACTCTGACTTATTATTTTACAGTGTAGAGGTTGACAATTGACGTTCGGTATAAATAGATGAATTGGTGCAGTAATTATTCATTTGGTTATGAATACAATATGATGATTGTGTGTGTGTTGATTCCCTTACCAACAGTACCAGTGTATCGTTGGTACAACCTTAGTCCACCTTGTCTCATTGGTGGATGATAGTATCAGAATTTAGATATTGAGTCTGGTTGTACTTAGGACTAAAGAATCGATTGCTAGATTCCCAGTATCCAATTATGCTACAAGATGATTTAGACACACAAATGTCTCATCCAAGGTTATATTAGACTGTCCATTCCTACCTTAACTATGCCGGAGTGTGTAAACACCTTACCTAGTCAACATGGCTGAAAGCTCCTGATCTCCTCTTGTGGGTTAGGCTAGACATGGTCACTGGTGCCATAGTGTTATCTTTTTTATGAATAATGATTTCAAATGCACAATCAAAGGTCTATAATAAGATCGTGTTGCAGGAGTAGGCATTGTCCTGGTAGCGGTGTCTGGTGTGGCGTGGAGGCTGACATCACAACAAGCACCATCATGTCGAGCCATGCTGGGACTAGGAGGGGATGACTCTGGTGAGCCCAACCGGCGCTTCGTACCTAGACTGCCTCCATCATATGGTCGGCCACACCATCCCTACGCCGGTGAGTACCCCATATCCATTAACTTGCATTACTTTTTAATGGTAAATGTTGTCGTAGAGTTCCAGAGATAAGAGAAGAATGTAAGAAAGCTCTTTGTAACTTATAGTTTTAGATCAATGAGTGCAACTGATCATAAATATGGTTCATATTAAATATGGCCTATACTGCACGTACTTCCTTTTTAATTGTTTCAAATCTACTTCATAGCCCCTTTTGGCATAAAAATTTTTTGAATTTTCTCCGATACCAATAACCGTACAAAAATACTTTTACATACTAAATTATTTGTTTTTAAGCTCTTAAACAAGGTCTAGAGAGAAATTGGGAAATTTTGTGTTTTGAGGGTCAAAAATGAGAAAAACCAATTTTTACCCCATAAAACCACCCGTAAAACCCCGATCCCATGGTCCGATCATGCTGGTTCGCGAACTCATAACTCATTCAAGTTTATCCCGCCTTGCACCTTTAAACCAAATTTCATAAAAATCTGAAAAAAATTACTCAAGTTATTGCGTTCACGGACAAAATTATATAAAAATTTGAGCAAATGGTGTTTTTGGCCTCTGGGGACATCAAAACGAAAAAGTAAATCGATCCCGGGTCTAGGTCTTACCATGCCACCTACGGTAGTAGCTACTTCCCTATAGGGAAATTCGCTAAAACACACTCTTTGTCCCCTTCACTCAAGTAAAAATAAGGGTGTGATCCACCAGCATACACACCCATATAGGCATGCACTGTGGATGCGATACTCGCTGGTGTGGATTAATGTCACCACTAGTGAGTACTACGACTATCAGCAGTATTATCCTAGACCAATTCGTTAATTACAAGGTAAAAATGTGGTTCAGATTCCAATGTAAACTGTAGGTCCCTTAAGTCCGGCGCACACAAAGACAGACAGACTCATGAGAACGGACTCCTGCAGGCGGACGGATTCTTTGTAACGCACACAGCCGCATGAGTCCACAAGCAGACAAACTATCTCTTTCCTCTTTCACCTCGTAAAAACTAAAAAAAAGAAACACGACAAAGTGTGGAACGGGATGTCAGTGCCTCACAAGTAGGTGATGTAATTACAAGGTGTCTAGCGTCCAATAAAAATAAAATTCAAGGACAATTCCAGGTTTCCAAGTTCAAAATTATTAAGACTTAGGCCTACTTATTTAAACCTGCTAGTCCCTTCAACGAATTCTGTGGGCTGGGTTCGCAAAATAAATCGTGGTCATAACTTTAAATCGCAAAAAAATTTTAGAACATTTTCAGTGATAGCGTCAAAATCCGTTATAACTTCTGGTGATGTCAGACATCTGTGAACTTATCATGGAATCGGGGCAAAATTTGAAATCATTTTGCAATCGCAACGAAATTCATGATGATTTACCGTGATCATTTCTTGCGATCGCGGCAACGTAATAGTTCCCCCAGCGAAAGTGATTGTCAACTACGCAAAACGGGAAAATCCTTGATTTCGGGCGGCCATATAGGCTATTATTCAAACATTCAAATTTCCCAGTTCTTAACAAATTTCACAAATATTCCCCCGCTCGTCAAATATTATGCAGGCAGGCTGGACACCCTTTTTAAACAAAGTACAACGCACCTAGTGGCATTGCGAAGAAATAACTTTTAAAAATCCTCTTTTGCGCATGCGCAGTAGAAAAAGTCCGCATGAGGATTTTTAAAAGTCGCCCGATAGGCGATTCCAAAAAATCCGTCGGCAAACTCAAGCGTACTCCGGCAGACGGACAGATTCCTGTATGTTTAGCCACATTTGATAACAGCGAATTTTAGTCTGTCTGCCTGCGTGAGTCCGCCTATCTCTATGTGTGTCGGCCTTTAGTTGCCATTGGCTGTATGGGCTATTATATAACAGCTGTGTTTAAGGAATATGTCAGCCTTAGTCACTATCAAGACTACAAGATCGCACCACTCATCCTACTTCAACCAAACAACACTGGTTTTATTAGGCATGTAATACTGTACGCTTGAAAATAAGTTGGCAACTCATTTTAAAATACTACGACTAGGATCAGCGTGTGCAGCGTTTCCCCATTTCATTCAACGCTTGGATTTAACCTAGCTTAAAAACATGTTGTGTAGTGTTTGAAAGACTAATTATTTATATCCTTTGTAGTAACTGTAGGGAAAAATATGATGTGTAACGCGAGTGCCAAGAGCCACTTCGCACACAAGTTACACAAATAACTATTATCAATGACTTATTTCATCTAAAGATCTTAGAATGAATGCCTGAATGCCTAGGCATTCTTGGTAGACCAAGAATTATGTTAGATCCAACTAATTACGTTATGAACTAACTAACTAATTATGTTAGGATTATGTTAGTGTTCGTTAAATAGGTTCTTGGTCCAGAGGGAGGTGGATTGCTAGCCCCATGGCAAGCCTTTCGGTAGGTTCTAGGAGGTAGGTTTTGGATGCACAATAAGCTGCGATACTTTAATACTCTACTTAAATACTTTAATTTGAAATGGCGACCATAAAGTTAGTTATTTTAAGCCAAGTATGAATGGAGATAAATTAAATGAGGGGTGTGAAAGTATTTTTAAGGCATTTTCAAAGAACCAACATTGTCTCTTACATACTGACCTCGTTTTCAAGGCACGGGTACAGCGGCTAGTAATTAATAAAAAAAAAACATCTTTGACATTTTTAAGCTTGTTGGATGCCAGTTCTATGGGCAAAAATCTCAACAAATCCTGAACACAAAGTTAAAGGCCTACATAGCACAACCGAAATAAAAAGCTAATGCTACTGATGTTTCAGCCATGATGTACCCAGAGTTCCAGTATAGAGCGCCACCGCCCTCATATCAAGCCAGTATGCAGGAGTACAGGCTGAGACTGCTGTTGCTGGATAGACATTCAGGTGTTGTGCCAGGGAACACGGTGTCACCTCCTCCCACATACAGAAGTCAAGGGGGCAGTTTGCTCAGGTGAGAGACAACAAACATTGGTAGTTATAAAGACACGTGTCTCAAACAACGTGTCGGATGAAATTAGAAGCAGGGCCGGATCTAGACAATTTTTGAGTGGGGGCAAACTAAAATTTGCCGCCCCTCCCCCCCCTTCACCCACAACAAAAAATCCCTCACAAATTAAACAAAAATGGAATAGGTAAAGTGGAATAGGTAGATATAACGAATTCCTTGATATAACGAATTTTTTTTAATCCCCTAGAACTCTCCATAAGACACAATGTATATTTTACCTCTACATAACGAACAAACTATAACAACGACCTTGATTTAACGAATTTTTCGTGATTTCGGCTAAAATAAGACACCTCAATAAGTATAACAAATTTATCATTGTCAGAACCTCTACATTGCGAATTTAACCTCTGCATAACGAATTGTCTACGTCTTTCCCTCGATATAACAAATCCCCCACCCAATTATTGTTTTGGGAAAATCTGTTTCTTTATCAAATGAAATGGAAAGGTCACCTCATCGCTTGCGCTAACATTCTTCTGCTCCGTTTTACAATTTACATCTTTGTCTGCTGTCTCTGCGCGCGCTATGTTGCAACTGAGAACTGATTTCATTCACTGAGGACTGATGACGACGTAATGTTTAGTAAGCTGTGATTGGGCGATATGGGATAACTATGGTGAATTGTACAATTTTTTTGATAAAGAAAAACCTAAGAAAGAATATAAAAACAAAACCAAAGAGAAAGAATAACAACATCGCTATTTTAACATTCCTTTTACGAGTATTTTTACTATCCTTAAGTTGGCTATGATTATACTCTTTTATAATGACTTATCTAATAATTTATTGTTTTCAATACGATTTTTTTCAACTAGCATTAGCAACACCAATGCTATAGTTAATGATTATTATTGACATTCCTCTGTTGTGATAAATCAGTACTGTACTGTAAGTAGCCTACCGGCACAGACAATAAAGTATTATATTGTCTGTGCTACCGGCCTATCGCGAGCAGTAGCTTACAAAACTTTCTACTGTTTTGTTTTGTTCTTTACATAATTTATGACTACGCAATACAGTGTTTGGCTAGGTTTTAGGAGGGTTAGAACAAGCTGTGATTGGTTGTGGCCATTGTCATGATTGCGCAATATTCAAGATCCCTCCCCTTTATTATGCCGGATAATTTAGGTTCTACTGTACAATGTAAACACTGTACTGTAAAGAATTGTAGCCCATGCTACTTTAATTGTACTGTATTTTAATGAGGTCAAGTCCCGACCTATATTGATCGACGCTGGTTCTGGAACCTCGACTTAGCGAAATTCCTGGAAACCTAACCTCTATATAACGAACCACGGCAGGGCGGCATGGCGCCTTGACAGGGATGGCGATCAGCTGAAATTGTAAACAAACTTTGCTGTGCTGCTAACTATGCTATTAGGGCTCTCAGTACTCAGTGTTTTCTACTCCGTTGCAATTTATATTGATTTCTATTGTAAAATTATTGTTTGTTTATTACGTTATGCAGTTTTGAAATTACTTAATTGACGTTCCTTATGACGTTCGGCTCATTAAAAACTTTTACAAACAGTATTAAACAAATTTTCTGCAACCAGAAATTTGCCGCCCCTCAACCCTGCCGCCCGGGGCAACCGCCCCCTCTGCCCCCCCCTTGTTCCGGCCCTGATTAGAAGAGCCTTTTCTTGTTGCTCAGGTGATGAGCCAGTGTGCCAGGCTTGATGTCGTACCAGGTCTTATCAAACACTGTTTAACCGGTCTGTTACAAAGTGCAGCTGGAGTCGAGGACATCAGCTGGAAATTGTAAAAACAATCCTTAGCGGTAATACCCAACAGTTATTAGTTAAAAACACTTTATATTAGATTGATCTAATGATCAGGATTCATACTTCAAGGTGAAGATGGCTGTACGGTCATTAGCAGAAAGCCGTACGGCGGTTTGAATATAACAAAATTTTTTCTGGTGCTACCGTTACCTTGTTCGAGGTCTCGAATGTGAATGATGTCCGTCTCGTCAAAGGTAGTCCAGGGGATGGAAGCAGTGTAGACAGCAGCGGTGTAGACCAATGGTGCGGGGGCAACAACAAGGCAAATGATTAGTAGCACTGGTGAAGTTAAAGTAACTGAACTGGTGTAATAAGAAATTTAAGATTAACATAAAATGAAGTTAAAACTGTAAGACAATGAGATTGAAAGTCTAAATAATATGATAGAGGTAAAGTTAGAGGTAGGGTCGTCTGCCAGTGACACCCTCTGCATTGCCAGTGCAGAGCGTCTCCAGTGGCTGGAGTGGGGACGACTCGCAGCAGATAACATTGGGTAGGGTAGCACCAGTCTAGGGACTTTAAATAAGTACCAAACAATGGCTAAAGATTGAATGTTCAGTCGATGAGGCTCTAGCTTCGTTTTTTACTAAATCAGCTAGTTCTTAAGCCAAGACCATGTATTGGAAATACAATGATTATGGACAACTGGGTTCAGCTTTAAACCATCAAATGTCTTATCTGAGGATCAAAACAGCACTTGTACCTCTCTATTGAAATCCGAATTAAGTATACTCTTCCACTCTATTCAGTCAATATTTCTGAATCTTAATGGATGTATTTGTCAGTGACACTGTGTGTTTGTGTTCCAGAGCGCCTATCACACTACGGGGCACCCCCGCTCAGTCTGAATACTCTCGTCCGCCCAGCTACCGCTCTAGGACGTCCTCGCGGCCTGATCCCTCCGTCACACACTCCAGAGAGCCCAGCGGGTCCGAGGCGGGGCAAGCAGTGAACGTCATCACTGTTCACCCCCACATCATCAAACTGGCCCCGTCGCCCCCACTGCCTGCTAAGGGTGGTAAGGACAGCAACCTGGTGACCATCGTACAGACTGCGTCACAACCCACGGGTCCCGTCATAGTGACTATCAGTGGACAAGAGGATGGAGCTACTAGTTGCCAGCAGAGCGAGATGGAGATACTGGCTCATTTGTGATACTTGACTGTAAATTTTCCTCGCTACGAACAAACTCGATTACAAATAAGCTGTAAATTCCTTTAAATTTATTTTTGATTATGAGATGCTAAAATCCCAAAGAAATTTGGGATGAAATTCAATTGACATAAAAATTAATTTGAACCCATTTTTAAGTTAAAATTAATAATTTAAAAATTATTTGTTTCAAGAATAAATTTTTTGACCAAACAGTTTAAATATTAAATATACTCATTTTTTTTAGAATTTTATATGAAAACAAACAAAACCAATTATCTGATAGGCCTAATTATATTTACTAAACTATATTTCAACTTTTAATTTTTCGTTTATTTATGGATTGGAAATTCTTTACTATTTAAATTTAAATTAAAGACTGCTTGAACCCTCCCTATAAACACAATTAAAATTTATGTCTAATAAAACCCCATTATTTGTGTAAAAAGAAATGAATACAGTATGTTTGAAATCTGGTCTGTTTGTGATTAGACTACCTTCTTTATATGCTGTAGAATATGTAATAAATTCAACACTCATTAAAGTAGCCTAAACTTGGTGCTAAAAACAATTTTTGTACACTATGATTATTATGGTGCCATCATCAGTTAATATTTTTAAGCCTGTACTGTATTATTTTTGGAACGGAGTACGTCATTTTAAACATATTACAATGTTTTTACAGCTTCATGATAAACAGTTTTCAGCAAATGTAAAATAGATAAAAAATGTCCTTTTTAGTATTAACATTGTCATACAGTAACAAAATTTTACTGTGAAAACTTGTAGGATATCTTTTCACAATGTACCTAAACATTTGTACATATGTTGTATATATTATGTTATCTCTTGTACAGCTGTAAAATAACGAGGGAAACCTCAAATTTTGTTGAATAAAACAATATTTTCCTATCGTTAACCTGTACGTGTCATTTCACCTAAACTCCCAAAAATTGAAATTTACATGATTCTACATGTAAATTAACTCAAAATCTGTGTTTGAGTGTGTAAATATGATAAGCAAACGTGAGTTTACTCAAGTCTACAACCTCTTCTAATAAGATGAAATTGGATACTTCGGTTGCAAACTTTGTGTTAAGATGGGAATGGAGGTTAGTGGGTTGCTAACCTCCTAAAGTAAAATAATTGAGCGGAGTGAAGCGAAGCTCTTTGGGATCAATTTCAATGCAAATTTTCTAACACTATCACTCAATAACGGCCGAACATATTTTAGCCTAAACTTACCAAAGGTTATTTTGACAAATGTTTGGAATTTTTGGGTGGAAACAATTTCAATTTTAGATCATGCCTATACGGGTGAGTTTCTACTAAGTTCGTTAATTTTTACCAGTTATTCTACTCACTAAAAGGAACAAAAAATGACAAACAAAAATTTTCTATCCCCACCCGTTATGCTGTAATGGCCGATTATGTGAATTTTTAAAATTACCTGTAGTAGCTTTACTAAAACGAGCATAGAAATTAAGCCAATACACGTACAGCATAATAACTTATACCAATGAAAAGAGCGTTAGATTTCCTACAAAACCATTGCAACACCTTTAACATACAACCATATTTTCACCGTTGTATGTCTCACATAACATAAAAAAAGAAGTTTCAAAATTAATTCTTTACAACTTCAAAGTGGTTTTATAACTATACATACTAATGTGATGTTTTGTCAAATTACGTAAAAAACTTTCCCATTTCATGCCCTTTAAAATGATGTAACCCATAAGGTTATTGCTGTATTAAAAGTTTGAAAAATTAGGTCAAAACCGCGTCAAGGTCAGAGTTTTCAGAATCAAAACATTAAACCAACTGTAATACAGTATCTGTTTCTTTGCTATCTAAGATAGCATTTTCCAAGTATGTAAAAAAAAATTTAATAGTTAATAATTTGAATGTTTACAAGCCAACAATTGAAATCAGCTGGTTTTGTAAACAAAGTTTAACACCCAGCTGATCAGATGTCAGCTGATTATAAGATAGCCTATCTTAAAAACAAATCAAAAACAATTCATGACAAATAGTATGGAATCCAAAATAAAAGATGTCATTATTCAGTTGTAAAAACTTTCCTCAATGATAAAATCTTTTACTAAATAAGAATTAACCTAATGGGAGCGTTTCATAAAGTCGAAATTTCACAAAGTCCAACGGTTAAAATATTAAATAAACAGAGCGTTTCACAAGGTCCAAATTTCATAAAGTCCAAAACTATAACATTCAAATAATCACCGTTTCACTCCAAATTTCACAAAGTCCAATGTTGAAAAATCAAATTAACAGAGCGTTTCACAAGGTCCAAATTTCACAAGGTCCAACGGTACAGTCTCGGCCAGAAGTCTCTACAGTGGTTGCCACGGTCAGATAGCAGGCACCGTCCACCGGCGCTTAACTACTGATTACTGATTACTCCCTGTTGCAGGAAACCTAAGTACGGTACTTGTTAAACTAATGCTATTTAAATAGGGAATAAATGTGATAATTTTAAGGAGATATTCTAGTGTAAATCAAATAAGGGAAATGGAAAATCAATTAGTCTGCAGGACTGCAGGTTTGCTGCGGAGGGGGTGAATACCACTACTTTACACTCTTTACAACATATCTACGGACCCACAATGATGTTTTGTGACGCGTGGCAACAACACTAGGTAGTGTAGTGCCTACATACCGAACCACGGCAACCTCTGCAGCGACTTCTGGCCAAGACTGTACCGTTGGACCTTGTGAAATTTGGACCTTGTGAAACGCTATGTTTATTTGATATTTTAACATTGGACTTTGTGAAATTTGGACATTGTGAAACGGCGATTGTTTGAATGTCATAGTCTTGGACCTTATGAAATTTGGACCTTGTGAAACACTCTGTTCATTTGACATTTTAACGTTGGACATAGAAAAATTTGGACCTTGTGAAACGCTCTGTTTATTAATAATTTAACCGTTGGACCTTGTGAAATTTGGACCTTGTGAAACGCTATGTTTATTAATATTTTAACCATTGGACTTTGTGAAATTTGGACCTTATGAACCTCACCCAAACTAATTTGATTAAGGTTTCTTTAAAAATTCAAAGAACAATGACATTTTTAATAATTTGGAGAATAAAACCAAGTTTCTAGGTCTTAGAGTTGATAGAACGTTAAATTGGTCCAAACATGTTGACCATACTTGTAAGAAATTAAAATCTGGAATTTGTATAATTAAAAGACTTTATTTACAATGAACAAACCCCTAAAAAGGTTTACTATGCCCATATTCACTCCCATATATCTTATGGCATTGAAATTAATGTAACAACTTACAAGTAATCAAAATGTAAAAATAATTTTATTAGAAGCTCTAAGAAACATCATAAATTTAGAAAGAACCTCTTGTTATAACAATATTTCAAAGATTTGGAAATTTTAACAGTTCCTTGTTTATATATCTACTAGCTGTACCCGCGGGCTTGCCCCGTTTAACATCTTAATTTTCAAGATGAGCTCGTTCGCATGGCTCAATCACATCCTGGCTGAAGTTTGTTCGCTACGCTCACTCACCTTTAGGTTGGAGCTCGTTCGCTGTGCTCACTTGCCTTCAGGTTAGCTCATTCGCTTCGCTAACTCGCCTCCAGGTTGAAGTTCGTTCGCTACGATCACTCACCTTTTGGTTGCAAATTAACCGTTGTCATAAATGAAAAAAATAATAATAGTGCTGCACCCTGTTGGTAATCCTTGTAACTTTAATGCTATTGAACATCATAGAACAGAACCAACTTGTTTAATTGAAACAGCTGATAACATTCATTAATTCAATTTAAATATGAAAAATCATAAGGTTAACATGGGAAACTCCAGAGCCACTGGGGCGGAGCCTGAGAGTCCGATCAGAATAAAAACAACTTAGTTTTTCCTATTTAATGTCATTTCCATAAATAAGACATATTTATTCCCAATTTAAATAACATTAGATTTAACGAGTGCTTAGGTTTGCTGCTACGGGGAATGTAAAAAGTGTTTTTGACCATATGTCAATAGTATAGGATGAAATAAATAAATTTGCCAAATTTTATCAATATATCCATAAACAAGTAAACTACAACAGATTTCATTTTCTCCATAAGAATAACATAGGAATTTTAAATTACACTATTTTTTATTTTTTTTCGTGACTGTTAGGCATACAACAGCGCCCAATGGTCCGATTATGCTGGTTTGCGAACTCGTTCGAATAAATGTAGGTTTACCGGTACTTGTTTGTACAAAATTTAATCAAAATCGGATAATTTTTTCTTGAGTTATCGCGCTAACGGACACACACATATATATATATACACACACACACATATATATAAATATATATATATATATATACATACGAATTTGAACGGATAGTGTTTTTGGCCTCTAGGGACCTCAAAACAAAAAATCAAATCGGTCCCGGGTCCAGGTCTTACCATGAGTACTACAGTAATAGCTTATTCCCTATATGTCAAATTCGCTAAAAAGACAAATATAAGCAAAGTCGTCAGTATATATTGGCATTAAATTTATCCATCAACTCCCAGATGGCATAAGGAAGGAGCAGAGTACCTCTAAATGTATCCCTACAGGAATCTTCTTATATACAGAGTGTTCCGGAACTCTCTACCAATATTTAAGGGCATTGCTCCTGGGTAAGAAACATACCTAAATATCATATTTAAATTGTCCGGAAGTCCTTAGTTACTCACACAGCCGCCACTTTGTTTTTTTCAGTTGTTAATTTTTTTCTAAAGAATGGTTAAACAAACGAAATGGAAACTTTGGACAAACATTTATGACAACTAGACAAAGCTACAAAAAAATTATGACGATTTTTCAAATTCATAAAACAAAAGCCATTTAAAATTTTGTTTTCTAAATAACTCAAAAACCGTTGATTTTTATAAATATTATATAAATGGCCGCCATTTTGTTTTATGAATTTGAAAAATCGTATATAATTTTTTTGTGGCTTTGTCTAGTTGTCATAAATGTTTGTGCAAAGTTTCCATTTCGTATGTTTAACCATTCTTTAGGAAAAAATTAATAACTGAAAAAAACAAAATGGCGGCTGTGTGAGTTACTAAGGACTTCCGGACAATGTAAATAGTAAATATGATATTTAGGTATGGTTCTTACCCAGGAGCAATGCCCTAAAATATTGGTAGAGAGTTCCGGGACACCCTGTATATATAAAATCCAATGTATGTTTGTTTGTCCTTTATGGACTCCGAAACCGCTCGACAGATTGTAATGAAACTTTCAGGCATTATTAAGTATTATTCAAGGACGGTTTGTGTGAAATTTGGTGCAGATCCGTCAAAAGGGCTCCGCCCCGGTGGCTCTAGAGTTTCCCATGTTAACCTTATGAGTACTCATACAATACAATCAATATCTACACTGATAGTCAAGCAACCTTAAAAGCACTAAACTCTTATTCAACTGAAGGCTCGTGTGGGACTGCCTTGCTTCTGTGTCTGAGTTGAATAGGAGAAATGATCTTACGCTCTGCTGGGTGACAGGATAAAACAGGCACACTCAGGCATAAAAGGTAATAAATCTGCTGACAGATTGGCAAATACTACCTCTGCTACAACCATGATAGGCCCACAACCCTTCTGTGATGGTATTTCATGAAACAGCGCATGTTCTTCGATTACGTCATGGGCCATAGAAAAGCACCGCAAACGCAGGGTCGACACTCCCCTTCTTAGGGTCAGCAAGCTTATCTTAGGCCTTCCAAAAAGGTTGCATCTGACCTCTTGAGACTAGACAGACGAAGAATCAAATTAACTGTAGAACTGATAACTGGTCATGGGCGATTCAGGAAACATTTACAACGGATGGGCTTATTTGATGGTGAACTGATCTGCAGGCACTGTGATAGGTCAGAAGGGACAGCCAATCACTTACTCTTTGATTGTAACAAGCTCTATGTTGCTAGAATGATAACTCTTGGTAATCTGGCTAGAGGAAGATATCTTCCCGAGGATGAACTTATTGGGAAGTTACAGGCATTCATTGGACACCTTAACTTGTAAGGTCAACAAGAAAACAATTGTCTGGGGTGCGCAATAATTCCAATAATTTGATTTCGGATAAAGGGCTTCAAGGTCTTGACCTGCCCCTGTTAGATCTTTACAGCTGGTTCAACTAAACAATTTGATTCTGTAATGTTCAATAGCATTAAAAAGTTAATAGGTTTACCAACAGGGTGCAGCACTATTATTTTTTTTTATTTATGACAAACAGCTAATTTGCAACCAAAAGGTGAGTGAGCGTAGCGAACGAACTTCAACCTGGAGGCGAGTTAGCGTAGCGAACGAGCGAACCTGAAGGCAAGTGAGCGCAGCGAACGAGCTTCAACCTAAAGGTGAGCGTAGCGAACGAACTTCAACCAGGAAGTGATTGAGCCATGCGAACAAGCTCATCTTGAAGATGAACCAGCATTGACATAAAACCACATTAGGACAGGACGACATCTGTCAGGCCAGCAAGTTAGAAATGAAAAGCTTGAATGTTTAAACAAAACTATTTCTTAACAAACATGGCCATTTATTCTCTAGAAGAATTTTTCTACCTCCCTCAAGAATACTAGACATTAAGAAAACATATCCTATATAAAAAATCGTATTTTTTAATTTGTATTTTAATTTAAAATAATAGTAATCTTTGACACTATTCCAACGCTGTAATATGTACGAGACTTCACAATGAATAATGACATTGAAATTGAAATTAATGGGAATTTGACTAAATGAAACGGATGGTGCTACAAACAACATTATATACACCTCTGGAATAGATTTTTATTCATTTATTTAATCCATGTTTATCTATATTAATCCATTTATTTAATCCATCATTTATATAATTTCTAATCTTTAAATCTCACAACCTTTTTATCGCCAGAAGCTTTCTGTTGTCTAGTTTCCTTTTGTTGCTACTTCTATACTGTAATTCCAATAAATAAATAAAAATAATCCTCTCTCCTTGTTTAATATATTTTTTTTAATTTTGTATAAGGCCAAAACAATGGGGTCTGTTTTCAACCGTTACATCTCAATGAATAAAGCCATTAAGATTGAAATTATTGGGAATTTGACTTGACATACACAAATGGTGCTACAAACAACAATATAGACACCTCTGGAATAGATTTTTTATTTATTTATTTAATCCATGTTATCATTTATATCATCGCTTGACTTGAAATGTCACCGTTTTACGTCCAGAAGTTTTCTGTTGTCCAGCAGTAGCTGCCGGTTGATCTGCAGGAGTTTCCGGTTGACTAGCAGTAGCTTCCGGTTGAGCTGCAGGAGTTGCCGGTTGACCATCAGTAGCTGCTGGTTGATCTACATGAGTTCCCGGTTGATCCGAAGAATAATTTGACTCCGACGTTCTTCGACCCCGCTATAAAATACGAATTACAGGAAATAGCCCAGTCAAATGGTGTTTAAAAATGGCTCGAAGTGGAAAGTTCTGGTGTGATTGTTTTTTATGGCTTGTTGTATGTTTTTGGGGTTGCTGAACACGAATCTGATCTTTTCCAACAAAAATTATTTTGGCAAATGTGAATTAAAAAATAAATTCATAAAAAGTGTTTTGTTTCTAGTTTTTGGCTTATAACTTTTAAATTATAGGCCAGTAAAAATAGGTTTTTGCCCAGAAATAATTCCTGGAAAGCTGGGAATTATTTTAATCCTTTTGATTTATAAAGAAGTAAAAGGATTTGAAGTTTGTCCCATTTTTCCAGATGAGCTTCTGACCTGGGACCACAAAAACCTTGAAATTCATGGTTACTTTTTAGTTTTTGCTAAAACTTCAAAAAACTGTCCAGCCTACAGAAAAACAAATCATAAATGAATTGTAGAGCATAAAATTCCGCATACATTGAGTATCTAGTGATGAAAATCGAACCAATAATACGTGATTTATATATTTAAATAAAGTTATTTTATCAAGAAATTATTGAACATTGAATATTTAACATTTATATTACTTCCAGAAAATGGATTCCAAGTACATTATCATTTACAAAGCAATTGAGACAAATTACAAAATACCCCCGCCACAGCAACCCTGCAGATTAAGCGAATTTCCATTTGCCTGATTCAACTTACTCTAAAACATCCCTTTAAAAATATCGCATTTGTTCCCCATTTAAATAGCATTGGTTTATGAGTACTTAGGTTTGCTGCAACAGGGAGGGTAAAAAGCGTTTTTAAATGTTAATAGTTTGGGATAAAATGAATACATTTTCCAATTTTTATCAAAATATGTTCATAATAACAAGCAAAAAAACATACTAAATTTTTATCAAAATCGTAAGAGCCGTTTTCAAAACAATCTGATTTTTCCATTATTTTATGGAAAAAAAAAATAAATAAATATGTTTAAAATGAAAAAAAAAAATGCCTGGAGATACCTCCCTCTACCAGATGACAGGCCCAATTATTTCATATAATCTCCTTTTCCCGTATGGGAACATCAGTTTTAACATTAACAAGAATTTTAACCAGAACAAACTTATGATTCAGCAAAACCATTTGGGCGACCTGATCCCGATGAAAGAACCGGAAATATTGTATTCAAAGAATTCATCAACCACATTTTTATGGTAGTTAGCTGAATTTGCATGAAACCTCAAAGGGAACCATCAATTTTGATGGGTTTCACCTTTTATATATATATATATATATAGATATAATTTTAATACTGCGGTGTAAGCGGGTATCAAAATGGGTGAAAAACTGTTTCAGGTCTTACGATGAAACGTCCTCAATTAATTAATGGCTACATCCTGTTTAAAAATTGCACAAAACACAAAATTTTGTTTCAACGTAATTCCCCTTACAAATAAAAATACACTATAAAATATATATTTATACATACAAGTAAAGCATATTATACATCTCATAATATATTATAGTTATTTTAAGTATTGGAATAAGAATATTTCAGAATCCATTTTCTTTTTACACTTTCTTAATCTTCTGATTAAAAATTAAAAAAGCGTTTAGAAATAATTACCCGAAACAAACTCCCTGAAAATATACTCTTCATTTTATTGCCGAATGATTTGATTGATTCTCTTGCTGCTCTGACTCCGGGAGACTGAACTATCGAATTACGAAATGATTTCATTTGTTCCTTCACCACCTGTAAAAGTTGCAATGCTTGGTTAGCAAATAACAGAAGATGAACGGATAAATAACAGTAAAGGAGTAACATAGGAGAACAGTGAGGGAGTAACAGTGGGGATGTAACAGATGAGTAACAGTGAGGATGTAACAGATGAGTTACAGTGAGGATGTAACAGACGAGTAACAGTGAGGATGTAACAGATGAGTAACAGTGAGGATGTAACAGACGAGTAACAGTGGGGATGTAACAGATGAGTAACAGTGAGGATGTAACAGATTAATAACAGTGGGGATGTAACGGATGAGTAACAGTGAGGATGTAACAGATGAGTTACAGTGAGGATGTAACAGATTAGTAACAGTGGGGATGTAACGGATGAGTAACAGTGAGGATGTAACAGATGAGTAACAGTGAGGATGTAACAGATGAGTAACAGTGAGGATGTAACAGATGAGTAACAGTGAGGATGTAACAGATTAGTAACAGTGAGGATGTAACAGATTAGTAACAGTGGGGATGTAACGGATGAGTAACAGTGAGGATGTAACAGATGAGTAACAGTGAGGATGTAACAGATTAGTAACAGTGGGGATGTAACGGATGAGTAACAGTGAGGATGTAACAGATGAGTAACAGTGAGGGAGTAACAGATGAGTAACAGTGAGGATGTAACAGATTAGTAACAGTGGGGATGTAACGGATGAGTAACAGTGAGGGAGTAACAGATGAGTAACAGTGAGGATGTAACAGATGAGTAACAGTGAGGATGTAACGGATGAGTAACAGTGAGGATGTAACAGATGAGTAACAGTGAGGGAGTAACAGATGAGTAACAGTGAGGATGTAACAGATTAGTAACAGTGAGGATGTAACAGATGAGTAACAGTGAGGGAGTAACAGATGAGTAACAGTGAGGATGTAACAGATTAGTAACAGTGAGGATGTAACAGATGAGTAACAGTGAGGGAGTAACAGATGAGTAACAGTGAGGATGTAACAGATTAGTAACAGTGGGGATGTAACGGATGAGTAACAGTGAGGATGTAACAGATGAGTAACAGTGAGGGTGTAACAGATGAGTTACAGTGAGGATGTAACAGATTAGTAACAGTGGGGATGTAACAGATGAGTTACAGTGAGGATGTAACAGATTAGTAACAGTGGGGATGTAACGGATGAGTAACAGTGAGGATGTAACAGATGAGTAACAGTGAGGGTGTAGTAGATAAGTAACAGCGAGGGAGTACTAGATGGATGGAGTGGAGAGTAACAGATATGGTAACAGTGAGAGAGTAACAGACGAGTATCAGTAAGGGAATAACATTTCAGTAAATATCCCCGTTGCAACAAACCTGCAGACTAAGTGAATTTCTACCTGGCTGGATTTCTACCAAAATATTCCCTTAAAATTGTCAGCTTTTATTTCCTATTTAGATCACATTATTTAAGTAACTTAGGTTTTCTCTTACAGGAAAGGTATTATAGAGTTGTGTTTTTTTAAATGTTGCTTAAAAATGTGTTTTTAAATGTTGTTAAATGTAGCTTAGTGTGAAAAAACAAAATTGCCAAAATGTCATTAAAATATGGCCAGAAAAAGCAAACTACAATCAATTTATTCACCATAAGAATAACGTGGGAATTTCAAAATTAACAATTTTATGAATTATCTCCGTAACCGTTAGGCACAAAACAACGCTTCAACATACAAAATTATTTCTTTTTTTAATCTCTACATGATGGTTTGAAAAGAAATTGTGAAATTTTACGATTTCTGAGTCAAAATGGGAAAAACCAAATTTTATTCTATAAAACTAGCCATTAACCCACATTCTCGTAGTCTGACACACACACTGACATCATTCTGATTTTAATTGAATTTAATTGAACCACTCTTTTGGGTTCAGGGCGACCCAAAACGGATATATCCACCTAAAACTCAAACAAAAAAATTCTGCCGAAAACAATACTTTCTCCATTTAGGCATGTTATGTATAGGGGGAGAAAGTAAAAACAGGTTCCCAGAGAACTTTTTATAGAGACTAGTGCCCGCCAAATATGAGTAGTAAAAAGTCCAACAAATCAAAACTGATTTATTTCCACAATAAGTATACAAACGAGATAACAGTTTTTTTTTTTTTAAATAAACCTCAAAGACTGTAGAAGATTTAGAAAACAAGGCAATAAACTGAAAAAAATAATAAGAACAGACGAAAAGACTAGATTTAAATTTATTTGAACACCGTAATTATTTATTTATCGCGAAGTGAGCTAAGCTTCATTCTATACTCCTTCTTTTGATTTATAAATACTCCTCCTGTACGACTGAAGCGATCTACACGAAATTTGGTACGGTCATAAGAACCAACTATGTAAATGTACTTAAATCTGATATGTTACAATCGGACTTTGGGGCTCCGTATTACGAGAATTTAAGCTTTTGGAAATTCAACATAGGTTTTTTGGGTTGATTGGTCACCAATGATGGCTTTGCAAAATAATGACAAAAGAGTCGTAATATGTGTTTTTTACACGCCATCTATACAAGCACATCACACATACAGAACAACAGAAAAGAACAACCCGAGTAATGCATTGAGCACAATATACTACAAAATGAATAACCAATTAGATTACCAAATAGACACCAACCAATTAGATACGCCAAAGATTTTACATTAATCATTGTGTAAACTAGATCTAAATTTTATTTAAGGAAAATGAACCTTTCCTACGTTACGGTAAGAGTTACGGTGAGGTTAGTTCCCCTACGTAGTGTAGTAAAAACACAAACGTAGAAAATTTACCTAAACTTAAAATAGTGGTTCTTCAAAGTCTTTGAACTATGAACTTAATAACACAGTAGGTCTATAAAATGTTGACTGGAGAAAATGAAAAAAGGTCGGTCACCAAAAATACAACAAAACAGTTTTAGGAAACTATGTAAAATAAGATATCCTAATAAAAAAAGTTACTCAAACTGCTTATTTAGGTGTTAATTATAAATATATAATGTGATCCTTATTTCAGTTTCACCTCTTACTTTGCGTGTACAGTAATCACGTAAACATAAAACATATTGAGTTCAAAGAAAAACTTAATGTGGCCTACAATATACAGTATTTCTTACTGTAAACTTCATATGGTAAATTAAAGACTATACAATTTAGAAGTTCATAGAATAAATTGATTTATTCAACTGGTTCCAAAATATTTCACCAACAATGATAAATATTCGTTAAGTTTTATATTTATATTCAAGTTAGATTTGAACCAACGAATTCGAGACTGTGAACTTAGAACGTGCGCGAAATCGTGCTCTTGAATTTCTATCTGAGATCTTAAATTGAATAATGTTTCAGATTTATAATCTCATAAACTTAGTCTGAAAATACCCCGAGTATCATGTTGATCATGTTATTTAGAAACCTTGATGGGACAGAAGGCGTTTAACTATGTGGAGCGAAGCTCTACAGTCTGTATGCAACACTCAGGCTTTTGTTTTTTCACGCATGAGGTACGAATATAGTTATATTTGCTAACTATGTTCAACCGTCTGATAATTGTGCATTATTGGTATTAGAGATGTAACGAATATTCGGTTACTATTCGGTATTCGGTCTATTCGGCCAATTTTTCAGTATTCGGTATTCGGCCGAATACTAGTTAACATTCGGCCCAATACCGAATACCCATATTTAGTTATAATTATAGGCTTTGTGGAAAAAATAATACCTTAATAAATTATTTTGAAAACCAACATTTATTTTTAGAACTTTGCAAATTAATAATCAAACTTAATTAATAGTAAATTGTGATGGTGATTGTGTGAAAGTATGGTGCAATGCCACTCCCTGTCACTATTACAACAAATAGACAAGTAGTGACTTGTCTATGAGTCATAGCATGGCTAAACCTAAACATAAAAGAACTACAACTGGGGCAGAGAAGAATATTCGGCGCTTCGGCCTAAGACCTCACCGAATACTCGGTATTCGGTATTCGGCCAAAAGTACTATTCGTTACATCTCTAATTGGTATTAATCCATGGCAGGCCTCTCAGTTGACGCCTTAACCCTTTGAGCATACTGTTCAATCGCGTTCACATCGCGGATTGCAACACATGTTTTAAACTAGCGTAATCCATATGCATACTTCATCACCACGAATACTAGAATAAAACCACTTTATCACTAAAGAGACTTTTTCGATCCAAACTTATATTGGAAACAATCAATTCATGGTTACAGTTTGTTAAGTATTCACTACTCAATTCTATTTAAGTATACAATTAATATAAACATCTTGTTCTTCAATAAACAATGTTTATGTTTTATCACAGTTTAAATTACAAATTCCTTTTCATTAATATGTAATGTCATATGTTATTATATCAAACTATATTATATCAAAATTATAACTGAAAGAAAATGTCTTTATTCATATTGGCAATACTGTGAATGCAAGAAGTTTAATTAAAACTGGCAAACCTGGCGCACGTAATCGTGCGCAATCTAGACATAGGAGAAAATGATTTGTATTGCTCTTTTTTATTTGGCGTTTTCTGGTTTCTTGGTTTGTTGTTAAATGTGGAGATGGTAAAAGGCTTAATTGGTTTTGCAATTTACGTACCGGTACCGTTTTTGCAGTTTTTTGTTGTTGTGAAATTCAGTAAACGATACTCTTTTGAATCGATGATAACCTAAAAGATAAACCATGGACAAATAGAATGAATATAGACTGTCAAAGGAAGGTTCCGGCGCCCACCGCTAGGAGTGCCGTGTAGTTAGCGCATACCTTTGCAGGCGAGGAGCGCAGGAGCCGTATGCTAGCAGCAGAAGCTGTAGCGGTGTGCGCCGTAACCACACGGCACCCCTAGCGGTGGGCGCCGGAACACATGCTAACCGCAGCACTCAGCACTGCTGCCGGTCTATATTTATTCTATTTGTCTATGGATGAACCAAAGCCCTTAGTTTCCACCACCACCTTTGGCTTAAGTCTGGGACTTATTCGCCAGGCCGATTCCCCGTAAAAATTTTCTTTCTTCTTAGGCTTCGGCCACTTTGGCACTTTCAATCCTCGTCCAGACACACTAATCTCAACTTTTTCCTTAAAATTGTCCATTTCTTGTGACAAACTGCGTTCAATAATGGCCCATCTCCCAACCTTAATTGTTTGAGGTTAAATCAAAACCAACAAACTGGCATGTTGTTAATTAGGAAATTAGGGCTCGTGCTGTATTACTTACGAAAGAATGCTCATTTAAGCTCAAATGAATTAATTTAGTATATATTTCATTGTCTAATTTATTAGAAAACATTCAGTATTTAGGCTACTGCATTTTATAATCCAAACTCGAATCTTGCTTCCTTGGCCTATTGTATAACGTTATCCTGTTTGTACGTGATGAATTTATTTGATTGCATTAATGAATTATCAGCAATACAATTAGCTGTTAATTTTAATTTTAATGGGTCAAAACGTTAGTCTAAAAGGTTTATCTCGTCATCTCGAAAGTATTTAATTCTGGCCCCTAACTTGAAACCCAAAAGACACATCAATATTTATATGAAATTTCCAAATGAAACGTAAATCATCGTTACTGTACTTGTATGTCCCAACAGTTATTTTATGCGTATCCCTGTCACAGCAACATTATCTATTAATATAATTATCGACATTAACTTTACAAGACGATTCAATATTTTGATATTTACTCATGTAATTAATTAGTTTCAAAGCAACCATCACTTATAATTTGGAGACAATAATTAAATAACAACTTATTCATTAGTTGATTTGGAATTAGGAATGACGTCTCTATTTCACAGTAAATATTCTCTAAATGGCCAAGAACTTTTATAAAAGTAGGCTAGAATAAGTTTAAAGAATATTAAATATTTCAATTAAATTTTAGTAAATAGTAGTAGAATAGTAAATAGTTAAATTTTAACTATTGTCAATTCCAAGAATATGCCAGTTTGTTTGTTTTGATTTAACCTCAAAATTTGACACGTATGAAGAGATGATCGTACTACAGCCAAAAAGGTTCATATTCAAAGACATTCCAACACACCTAACCGCTTCTAGCTAAAAAATCCAACTGTACTTTTGGTTAAAAAAATATACAAGAGTTAATACAACACTTTGACTTTTAGTTTAATAATTAGTCCCTGATGCTGAACTATCGGTTAATGATGCTTTCATACAAAACGTCGGTGTTATAGAGTGTGGTTGAAAATACCCGGAACGGTGTTACATATTTTTTTTACCAATATAGATAAAGTAATGAGACTTGATATTTCAATAACATCCATAAATGTCCACTCTTTTGAGCTGTTATCACTGGCCCACGAGAAGGCAGCCAAAATCCTTAAACAGCAACATAGGTAGAGTTTGGCATCGCATTAAAGGTCTTATTTAGTAAAACACACTGCCGCAAACCCAAACTCAAACAGACAACCGAGTCGAAAATGGCAGCAATTCAAATATATTTTGAATCTGCCATTTTTAATCTTGGAACGACTGCCATATTTACCCAGCTTTTAAGCTCAAATTCGTGGCACTGTACTAACGAAGACCTTTAATTTTATAGGCAACTCGACCTATGCTGCTATTTAAGAATTTTGTCTGACTCCACATTGGGCCGTCCCACTTAAGGGGAAAAAAAATTATAATTACTTAAAAGAGTAGGTATTTATGGCTATTATTGATATACCAAGTCTCATTACTTTATCTATATTGGTAAACAAATATATTTAACCATTCCGGGTCTTTTCAACCACACTGGATAGTTACAAGATCATGGTTTGGACCGTTTCCGGTGGTGAAGGTGGTGATAGGTAGGATTAAGTTACTGTGGAAGTCTGACTTCCCTCTTTCCTCAATGCCAGTGTCACCCTCTTGTTAAGTGGTTGGAAGCGACGTAAATTATCCGAACATACCGTAGTAGACAGTGGCTCCAGGTAAGCTTATAATTTAAAGGAAATAGTAAGGGATACGCACCCTAGCCATTACGTAATGAAACTGTCTTGCTTTAGCAGCTGCTCTAGCAGCTTCTTCAGCCTTTTCAGCTGCTTCTAGCTCCCGTCGCTCCTTCCTCTTCCGCTCTCTATCCTCTCTACCTTCCTCAGTTGAATAGGTAGGGTAACCTTCGCCACTTGGATTCCACCAGCTTTTAATCTTCTTCAAATAAATTATGTCAAATTCATTATCAGGAAATACATCTCTGTCAGGATCATCAACGTAAACCACTTTCCCGTCAACCTTCACAACTTCTTCTTCACCAGTTTCTTCATTTTTTTTCTTATACACAACTTGCGGTTGGTGAAACTTTGCCCGAACCTCTATCTTCGCTTCCCTTGGATCTCCTCTTGTGGTCGAGCTATGGACCGTCAAGTAGTACGTGTTGGTATCTTTATTGTACCTAAAATAAAAGTCAAACTTTATCGACAGAAAAGAATATTTATAAAAGGATTGGGATTTTCAATTAACAAAATTTCAATTTACCACTAAAACACATTCGTTTGAAGGTTTTGGTAAATTCAGATCAAAATATTAAACTGTACTAAGTTAACAATAGCCCAAAGGACTGCTTGCTGGGATGGCAGCTCTCCTCTTGTATGTGTTATGACTTCGGACACACCAATGAGGATTTATATCTATTGTAGTTATATCCAACAAGGGACAACAACAGAATGAATCGATGAAAATGACCAATACTGTTATGACACGGTTCATAGGGCTGGCCGTGTTTTCTGGAGACCGTTCAGGAAGCAGACTAAAATCGCCCAAATTTATATTAAACAAGTGTTTAACAGTAGGCTTGCATCATTGTAGTAAGGACCTCAACGATCACATCCATTCATCCAGAATCATGTGTCATCTTAGCAAAATATCACATTTCTATGACAGTAATAAGTAGTATAGAAGGATATCTGTATGAAATTGAAAAATTGTAAAACTATAACCAGAACATATTTATTTACGCTTTCCTGCTAAGTTCCTTGCAAAATGGATTAACTTGGCAGTTTAGTTTATCAACAATCATATATTATCAACCGTCCGTTAGCACAGATCTAATCAATAAACTGAACCGGTATCTAACAGACAAACTACGTAAAGTCAAAGGTACTATTTTGAAATTTTATCAAGCTAAGTAAGCATATTAAAACTTTATAACATAAAATAAAATATTTTATTTTGCCATTCACTGGAACGACATCGGTCACTGTATTCATGACTTTGGTGTATAAAAAGACAACTTTAACATACGTAATTGATCTATTATGAAAAATTTATGATATAGGGTAAACCCTTAAATATCAACCAAAAAGTAGGTATATATAAAGTATATATATATATATAAACATATAAATAAATTATAAATTATATATATGAATTTGAACGGATGGTGTTTTTGGCCTCTAGGGACCTTAAAACGAAAAAAAATCGGTCCCGCGTCCAGGTCTTACCATGAGTACTACGGTAATAGCTTATTCCCTATATGGGAAATTCGCTAAAAGAAAAAAAGGACATGTGACATATTATTCTGTCTTAAATCAGCTGATGTAATATTTATTTATTATTGTTTGTTGTGTTTATATTAGTTTAGAGTTTTCATGGTGAGTTCTATTAAAACCAGTGTTCTGTACCAATAAATGAAATATAATTTATGAAGCTTTATCATTACCATTATCTTCAATAAGAATATAATCGCAACGCTTCAAGCTCCGGTGAATAGTAGCAGTACCTCTTCCCGCTTATCCAAGCAGTGCCCTCTGCCATTAGATAAACCCAAGCAATCCGCAGATCAAAGTGGTTAATAACTTTTACCCATATCTAGCTGAGTCATCTATCCCTTCATCCTCAAAATCTTATAACTGACTTCACACCCCTGGAAAGATCCCAGCAAACGACTGAGGCTAATCGCCTCACTATAAGTATTTTGTATGTATAAAAATATGTTACAGGAGTAAAAGCACAGCAATCCTGAATAAATATATTTGCAGGTTTACATTATTGAATTATTATAACAATTTTTAGAGAAGTGTATACAAAAGATACAGATTTTGACGTTTAATGAATTCACTTACGTTACTTTTTCGCCGATGTTGTCATCTAGCCATTGCTTAATTTTCTTTCCGTCATTTTTCGCTTGTTCTCTTATGAATTCCATCACAAGTTCTTTGAGATCATCTTTACAATCTTTGGCCCTGAAAAAAGTTATGGTTATAACTCTGTAAATACACCCGCCGCAGCGAAGCTGCAGCAATTTCCGTTTGCCTTATTCGAGTTTTACTAAAAAGTATTTCCTTAAAAATTACAGATTTATTTCCTATTTAAATAACTTCAGGTTAAACAAGTACTTACTTATGTTCCATGCTACAGGGATGGTAATAAAGTATGTTTTATGGCAAAATGTGTGGAAAGCTCAGTATAAAATAAATAAAATTGCCAAGTTTGGTCTAAGTATATCCATAAACAACCAAACTAAAATTTTTTCCTTATTCTCCATAAGAATAACATAACAATTTTAAGTTTACAATATCTTGAACTTTCTCTGTTATAAATAACCGTAAAAACACACTTCAAGATATGAAATTTTTTTAAGATCATAAAAATGGTTTGGAGAGAAGTTGGGAGGGTAAAAAATGAGAAAACCCAACTTGTACCAAATAAAACCCCCATTCCCATTGTCTGATCATGCTCATTCGAAAATGTTTTTAAATATAATGTTTTGAGACTTGACTAGGCGTGTACAAAAATGCAAAGAGTGGAAAAGTAAACGAGAAAGTAAGAGTTAATATTGGTGGGTTTGATTGATTTGCACTAGAGTGTGCAATTGTGATAGATATCTTATATATTAAAACTGGACAGGTTATTTAAAAATATTCAAGATTCTGAATCAACCACTTGACGGATTCTCATGATTTTTGTGGTGAAAGGAGGACAATTTTGCAGGGAAGGGAATGTCAATGCCATAATTTTAGTTTAGGATTTCAGTTCTTTAAAACATAATATTTAATTAAAACGACGAAACATAACCTCATTCTCCGATTTAGAGGGGTGGACAATTAAAACTCACCCTGTGTATATATATGTGAATTTGAACGGATCTTGTTTTTGACCTCTAGAGACCTAGAAAAAGTAAATCGGTCCCGGGTCCAGGTCTTACCATGAGTACTACGGTAATAGCTTATTGTACTTATTCAGTATTAAGGTAATACTCTACAGTATATGGGAAATTCGCTAATACATTATTAAAAACTAAGTAACCTTTACAAACTAAGTACCCTTTTAAAATTTGTTTAACAAAATAAAATGAGTTTTAAAAGGGGACTTAGTTTTAATAATTTTTTTATATATTAAAATAGTAGTCCTAATCGCTACAATTTTCATAATATATATTTATATAAATATATATGTGTCCGTTAGGGCGATAACTCGAACAAAGATCATCCGATTTTGATGTTTTAATAAAATATAGTAAATTGACAGTATTACACATCTACCATAGCCATAATGCTCTACCACTTCACCTAAATAATTAAAAAAATATTAAAAATTCGCATAAAATCACAAATTATTCATGACATTAAAAACATAAACATAACTGTAAACAATCCTACTTTGAAAGTTCTCATTGTGTATCACAGATTTTTGTTGCTGCTTAGTTCAAGTTAGCTGTTTACATAAATGCAAAAAAATATATAGTGCTGCACCACGTTGGAATAGTATATTTCATTACTAGGACCGAAAGTGGCATCACAGACAATGGAATAAGTATTATATTGTCTGTGGTGGCATTTTCCGACGCGCGCCCAAGTTTACCCAAATTTCACGTGCGAGGCAAAGCCGAGCAGGTGAGAGTTATTTTCACGTACGAGGCGAAGCCGAGGACGGGAATATTGGAGCAAGTGTCGGAAAAATGCTTTTGGTACGAGTTATGAACGATACTTTTCATCACGACGCAAAAATACACAGATGCAGAATAACATATCTCAGTAGCATTATTAGACCACTCTTTATCATTGAAAATACACTTCACAACTTAAATATATGGCTTCATAATTGTAATTATTTAGATAAATGTATTAATAAATACCTCGTCACTTACGTTAATTAACTTAACATTTTGTAGTTTGTACCAGTGTCGAAGCTTTCTGTATTCCTCTTCTTATCCTTCCGGTGATTTATCCGGTGAAATGTGATAAGTTAAGTTTTTTTCATCAAATTATCAATAATGTTAGACATACTTTGAGCAATTCAAAACAAGCACTATGTTAAAAACACAGCAAATCAAACTAATGCCTGTTTCTGTATGGATTTAGATTGTTAAAAAATAAAAAACAGCTGTTTCAAATCATTAAATTAAACCGTAACACTAGCGCACGTAGTGAGTAAATAGAGAACTAATCGAGAGCGAGGGAAAGTAAATTTAGAGCGAGGGAAAATCAGCTGATCGATTTTCCCTCGCCCTAAATTAGAGCTTGGGAAACAGTTACTTTCATTGAAGACAGCTGTTATCGAAAATAGTTACTTTCGGCGAAGAGTATGAAAAATCTTATACAGTTTTAATGGTTTTATATATCATAGAACCAACTTTTTAGTTGAAACAGCTGACTAAATTCTTTAATTCCCTTTAAATATTAATACTCATAAGGTTAACATGGGGAACTTCAGAGCCACTGGGGCGGAGCCCGAAAGGATTTTCGAGATAAGAATATGCCTATATGTTAATCGGGAATGTGAGCTATCATCATGCCAAATTTCAGCCCAATCCTTCCAGTGCTTTATGCGTGATTGAACTTCAAACAAACAAACACACACACAAACAAACAAACACACAAACATACAAACATTTATAAAATTAGTAAGATTTTCTACTTTTTAATGCGTTTAAAAACGTGGCATTTTGAAAAAGTATTTTTATTTATAAATTATTTTCTACTTTTTAGTCATTAATGGGTAAATCATCATAGAGTTTTACACTGCCAATGAATAACCTTCTAGCATAGTTGAGAAATTGGTTGTGCGGTTACTGTTTAAGCTAGAATTCCTAGACATTCGGATGTCAGTTGTCTCAGCCTTATCAATTGCATAAAGTTGTGAATATAATCTCTCTTCAGAATTTTAGGTGTAGTGGAATTTACTTGTAGGGAAGCTGGCTTTTATTCGGGCCTCGTTCATATATGGTCGTGTGGCTTCATTGGTAACAAATGATGCTAATGACAAAGCAATGTTGCAATTCCAGAAAGCAAATACTGTAAATAGGCTGATACGTTTATATTGACGTTTACATGGATTGTTGTTAATGAACGTATCTTATAAAGGATGATGAGATCTATTTTAAAAGGATTATGACCTTTCTGTCATGACAGTAGCTACTTAAATGGTAATTACTCTTTGTGTAATTTTTTTACAGTCAAAGTGTAGTGTTATTTTGATTATTATTTGTTGCTGTGATTTCATCAGTGTAATGCAGATTAATCTATGATTTTATTTGAAAAAAATATCTGTTTGTTGGGAAGACACGTTCTAACTTCAAAGGGAGGTACAGTATATCCGTTACAGTGTAAGTTTAATTTTCCTTCGTCACGTAGGGTCGGTTCATATCGTACTTCTGTGCCAATGAACAACCCTCTATCATATTTTTGAGAAATTGGTTGTGGGGTTACTGTTAGTTGTCTCAGCCTTATCAATTACCTTCATAAAGTTATCAATATAATCTCTCTACGGAATGTTAGGTGTAGTGGAATATACTTGAAGTGAAGTTGGCTTTTATTCTTGAACTGGTGCCTCCTCCTTTATATGGTCGCGCGGCTTCATTGGCAGCAAATAATGTAAATAACATAGCAATGTGGCATATCCAAAAAATCAAAAATACTGCAAATTGGCTGTTACGTAAATATTGACGTTTACATTTATGATTATGTAATCTAGTTTTAAAGGAATATGACCTTCCTGTCATGACAGTAGCTGCTTAAAAAACTCATTGTGTTATTTTTTACAGCCAAAATGTCGTGTTATTTTTAATAATATTATCAACCCAGTGGGCCACGGTCCGTAATATAGGCCACTGCAAATAATTTGTCAAGATAGGTACCGTTTTAGGCAAGGTTTCTGTGTTTTGATGTTATTAGACACAGCAAGAGCACAATAAACTTCTTCTGCAGATGAATTATCTGTTGGAGAAGTATGATCCAAATTATAAAATGTCACAATGCGAGTTTGAGCATTTTGTAACTATATAGGTAAGTTACAGAGATTTTTTAGGCTGCTGCTCAGTGCACTTTAAGAATGTATTTTTTTTTTGATAAATTAAATGGATTTTGTTGCAGTAAACATGCTCAACCCTTTTCGTTAGTATTATAACATTCAAAGGCTCCCTAAGAGTTCCAGTTCTTATTTGTATACCTACATAAGTTTAATATGATAAAGTATAGGCAAAAGTGGTGAAAAAGGCAGACAACAACCCGTAAAATAGATATAAGATAGTTCTATAAGAAATAATTGTAAGAGTTACTGTGATAAAAGGATTTTCCACTGATATCGTAATGGAACGATATAATGCAAAACATGACGTGATACAGACGAAAATCAATTTTAAAATCTGAAAATAGCATTGCAAATACTTCTTTTGGACAATTCAGTAACTTCCAATAAAATGTGTGTTGTTTAAATTACAATTTAAAAATGAACAGCTGTTTCAAAGTATTATCCACATGGCCAAAATGTAAACAAACCTGTGGAGGGATCTTTAAAGGCTTCTGGATCAGAGTCCTAAGGGAATTGATTTTGTTTTTCTTTCGATAAATGATCTACAGACCTTTCTTTTGACACCTCTACCAAGTTTCTACGCCCAGCCATTCTCTCAAATTAGTGGAGACAAATTTTCCAATTAAATATTAAGATTCCCCATGTTAATCTTATGGGAGAAATCCCAACTTTGATGGAAGATCCTGGCCAAACTAATAAAGATTTCAAAAATCCAAAAACACTTTGCAAAACTACAGATCAGGGCCATTTTTTTACACTTTAATCATCAAAATCGGACCAAAAATGTGGGAGGAGTTCTGTTCACAAAAATCGGCTTAGCGTATTATATATATAGATGTTAAATCTATTTTATACTAGCAGAGTACCCGTCCTTCGTACGGGGCTGGCATATAAGTATAAAATGCTTAGTGCACTTATACTCAAGCTTTGCGTT